ATATTGTGAAAAGGTGCAATATTCTAGGTTCACGGTGTCCCACTCTAATCAGCTAAGTAAGCCATAACACCTGCAAAGGGTTTCTGAGCCTTTAAATTGTCTCTCAGTCTGGTTCAGTAGGAATCACAATCATGGTGAAGACTGCTGACCTGACAGTTGTGCAGAAAACCATCATTGATACCCTCTATAAGGAGGGAAAGCATCAAAAGGTAATTGCAAAGGAAGTTTGATGTTCCCAAAGTGCTGTATCAAAGCACATTAATATAAAGTTATGTGGAAGGGAAAAGTGTGGAAGAAAAAGGTGCACAAGCAGAAGGGATGACCGCAGCCTGGAGAGGATTGTCAGGAAAAGGCCATTCAAAAGTGTTGGGGACTTTCACAAGGAGTGGACTGAGGCTGGAGTCACCATCAAGAGCCACCACACACAGACTGATCCTGGACATGGGCTTCAGATGTCGTATTCCTCTTGTCAAGCCGCTCCTGAACAACAAACAAAGTCAGAAGCGTCTTACCTGGGCTAAAGAAAAACAGACCTGGTCTGTTGCTCAGTGGTCCCAAGTCCTCTTTTCTGATGAGAGCAACTTTTGCATCTCATTTGGAAACCAAGGACCCAGAGTCTGGAGGAAAAATGGAGAGGCATACACTGTAAGATGCTTAAAGTCCAGTGTGAAGTTTCCACAGTCTGTGTTGATTTGGGGAGCCATGTCATCTGCTGGTGTTGGTCCACTGTGCTTCATTAAGTCCAGGGTCAACGCAGCCGTCTACCAGGAGATTTTGGAGCACTTCATGCTTCCTTCCGCAGACGAGCTTTATGGGGATGACTTGGCACCTGCCCACACTGCCAAAAGCACCAAAGCCTGGTTCAATGACCGTGGGATTACTTTGCTTGATTTGCCAGCAAACTCGCCTGACCTGAACCCCATAGAGAATCTATGGGGCATTGCCAAGAGAAAGATGAGAGACATGAGACCGAGCAATGCAGAAGAGCTGAAGGCCGCTATTAAAGCATCCTGGTCTTCCATAACACCTCAGCAGTGCCACACGCCGCATTGAGGCAGTAATAGCTGCAAAAGGGGCCCAAACCAAGTACCAAGTCCATATGCATGCTTATACTTTTCAGAGGTCCAATATTGTTCTATGTACACTCCTTGTTTTATTGATTGCATGTAATATTCTATCTTACTGAGATTGTGGATTTGGGGTTTTCATGAGATGTAAGCCATAATCATTACACTTATGACAAATCACGGCTTGAACTATCTTGCTTTGCATGTAATGCGTCTATCTCATATATTAGTTTCCCCTTTTACATTGCATTACTGAAATAAATTAACTTTTGCATGATATTCTAATTTCTCGAGTATCACCTGTAGGTTTACAAACACCTTAAAGCACCAACAATCCCCAAGAATCCAGAAACATGTGGGTTAGAGATGTTTGGACTGTGAATATTTGGATTTTTTTACATTATTACTATATTGTTTTATCTTTTTACATCTTTCGGTGCAACCTGTCTTTGTATTTTATGATATCTGGGTGACAAAAGTGTAATTTTTTTTTTTTTTAAATGCGTACTATTTTTGAAATTCACAAGTAAATTGGACAGCCTGTGATGCAGCCTAAATAAATTAGTATGTAATAAATGTATCTATATAGTCTATGTATAAATAGAAATGTGTATTTCTTGTGAGAATCTTTATATACTTCACAGCCTTTACCTAAAGCCTTATGGTTTCTGTGTTGGAGTAATTTATATTTATTATTTCGCTTTAATGTTCTTAGGCACATTGCCTTAAGTAATCTGATATTTAGAAAAATAAATCAAAGAAAATGTCGCACATCGTATATTCTTGTCCAAAAGTCAGAAATTGAGATTTTCATGCATAAAAACAGGCAAAACGAGTGATGAAGATGGACAAGGTTTTCTAGAAGGTTAGTTAATATTTAAATGTCAAATGTTCTCTGTTGATTGCTGTTCTTATTTGAAAGCATTATATTTCCTGTCTATCTACATATATATCGTGGTAGTGCTAGTTAAATGCCTTTTTATTGCAATGGATCCAAGCGCCAGTCATCACAAATGGGTAGTTGCCCTTTCCTCTCTTGCAGGACAGATAACATTGGGTGCAATCCACATTAGCCTATGTGTTCCACCATTTTAACCTACACACAGGGGGGCATCTAAGGCATGGTTGTGTCATAGTCTGGTTGAGAAGGGGTGCTGACCGTAGCATTAACCACTATAGGTTGGAAACCAGAATATACACAAACCAAGGCAAAAGCAAATGTAGTATTATATACAAGAAACACAATAGAATCAAATACAAAAACAGATAACAATAAGAAAATGGAGCAGGGCCCCTGGATGAAGAGAGCCCAGAAAAGCAGTTTGCTCTAGGACACAAAGGGTAACTAGAAGGTTATGCAGGACACAGGGATCAAACCAAAAACACAATAATGAACTGGCAAACAAACAGGAAGGAAACTAGACTAAATAGGGAGAGAATAATTGCATGTTTGTGTCAGCTGGGAACAGAATGAGATCGCTCAATAGAAGCTGTACTGAAGGAAGGTGTTCTTTCTAACACCAGAGGGAACAGCCCCTCTAGTACTGGTGTGACTAAGAATGTAAGAAATGCTATACAGGTTGTGGTGGTAAGGAACTCTATTATTAGACAGGGTCATCTGCGACTCTGATCACCTTAGGTAGACAGTTTGCCGTCTCCAAGGTACTTGGAACCGGCATGTTGCTCTGGATGGATTATTGGGAGGGGCTGAGGATGACCCTGCCGTCATGATTCATACTGGTACCAATGCCAAAGTCAGAGGAATCTGGAATGAGTCAGGGAAGGAATGAGTTCAGGGAATTAGGACATAAACTGAAGAAAAAGGCCTCCAAGGGGTATTTTCTGAGATATTACCTGTGCCATGCACTACAGTGGAAAGGCAGTGGGAGGGTAATGCATAGCTTTAAGTAAAGGTGTAGGAAGGATGGTTTTGGCTTTTTAGAGCACTGGGCTGATTTTGCACTTGGGTACAATCTTTAAAGCCATGATGGCCTGCACCTAAACAGAAAAGGACTGGCTGTGCTGGAGTACAGGATGGCTAGAAGGTTGGAAGAGATTTTAAAGTAGTGGTGGGGAGCCAAACTGGGAAAAAATGTATAGGCAAAGCAGCCTAGAAGGAGGGGGCAGGGTCAGAGAGGAGGCATATCAAGTCATTAACAATGCTCGTGGGAGGAGCGTTCTGTCTCCCAGGCCCTAGCTCCATACCTCCCTCTGTGTCTCCTCTCAGACAACACGCACAGAGCACCCTCTACACACACTGATCCCCCTTCACATACCCTGAACCCCTACACACACACACACAGCACCCCCACACCTCCTCGATATACACACACAGCACCTCCCACACACTGAACTCCAGAACCACCACTTACACACCCACAGCACCCACTCCACACACTGAACCGCCACACTACACTCCACCCACTCACGCAGCATCCCCACACAGAACCCCTATACACACACAGTACCTCCCACACACTAAACCATTTCCCCCCCACATACACGGCACCCCCACACACACTGAACCCCTACACACTGCACCCACCCACACATGCAGTACCCCCCACACACTGAACCCCTACACACACTGCACTCCTCCGCACAGGCATATGCACACACACACACTGCTCCTCCCACACACTCACACTGAATCCTCCACACACACTGAACCCCTACACACACAGCACCCTCCCACACACTGCACCCCTTACTGCAGTCTCTCTGTGTGTATTCAGCAGTCTGTATGTATTCCGTAGTCTGTGAGTGTGTATTTAGCAGTTGTGTGTAGCTGTCTGTGTGTATTCAGCAGTCAATGTGTGTGTGTATTCAGCAGTTTGTCGGTGTGTGTGTATTCAGCAGTCTGTCTGTGTGTGTGTATTCAGCAGTGTGTGTGTGTATTCAGCAGCATCTGTGTGTGTATTCAGCCGTCTGTGTATTCAGCAGTGTGTGTGTGTGTGTGTATTCAGCAGTCTGTGTATGTGTGTTTATTCCACAATCTGTGTATATTCTGCAGCTTGTGTGTGTATTCAGCAGTCTCAGTGTATTCAGCAGTGTGTGTGTATGTTTTTAGCACTCTGTGTGTATTTGGCAGAATATATATATACACACACACACTGTATTTGGCACTGCATCCACAATATTCATCACTGCCTTCATAGAGTTACATGGATCTTGTAGTGTTAAAAATCGTCTCCATATAAATTTAGCTTATATTGGATACGAGCACAGCAAAATCCTTTGATGGCCTCTTACTCTCTGCCAAAGGCTCCAAGGACATTATATATAATATTGGGGACAACAGGCAGCCCTGTCTGGTTCCATTTCCCAATGTGAACCATTCAGAGCTAAACCCATTGCCCACCACTCTTGATGATGGATTCAGATACAATGTCATAATTGCGTCCAATATAGCTCCCTCCAAACCAAATGCCATTAATGAATATCGTGAATATCTCCACCCAACCCTGTCGAAGGCTTTTTCAGCATCTAACGACAGGGTTAGGAGGGGGTCCTATTTTTTTTTTTTAACTATTTCCAATATATTAATTAATTTTCGTATATTAGTAATTGCGTATCTACCCTGAACAAATCCCACCTGGTCCAGATGGATTATTTCTGCAATAATCCTATTTTAGCAGCGCGATTGAATGCAATACAATATACTTTTATATCGACATTTTGAAGTGTGATATGTCAATAATTAGAAACCTCAAACCACTCTTATCCTGTCTCAATATTGGAACTATATTTGATTGTAACATTTCCATTGGGATTGGATTTCTCTTAGCAAAGTCATTAAAAAGTTTAACAAGTTGGGCGTGGCTTGGTGCCTGAACTGAATGGACGCATGCTTGTGAAGCTCCTGCCGTTCCGGTGCCCTAGAGCGCAAATAACCGGTCTACAGAGCAAAATTCTACCGCACACACCGCTATTATGTCACAAAGACAAAAAAACAAGGCGACTAAGGCTGAACGGGCATCCTTCTTCCTGGCGCGGACTGCCAGAACGAAACTGCGGGAAGGCCACAGTCTGTACAAAGATGGCGGCAAGGCCCGCTCCCTGTCTCCCTCGGCCTCCTTAAACTCCCTCTCGGAGGATCAGCCTCTCACAACAGCCACTATGCGACACATGCTAACTGATCTCGCTGACACACTACAGTTCAACATGAAAAAGCAGCTGCAAAGCCTAACAGCAGACCTCCGCAAAGATATCTCCGACATAGGCCAGCGTACAGGCCACATGGAGCAAAAACTAGATGAATGTGCAGATGCACACAACTGCCTGGCGAACAAAGTCCCGGATTATGAAGCCACTCTCAACTCATATAAAATTAAGGTGCCGGACATGGAAGATCGGTCGAGGAGGAATAACATTCGAATCCGCAGCATACTAGAAACGGTCCTAGCTGCAGGCCTCAACAACTACCTCCAGGACATGTTCCCAACACTCACTCTTGCCATCCACCCAGACCAGCTGATCGTGGACAGGGCGCATCAACTCTGACGGCCACAAAACCTACTGCCCATGGCGACGAGATGTCATAGCCCACATTCACTTCTTCTATGCTAAGGAGCAACTGATGAGAGCTAGCAGAAGCGCTGACCTGCCGGACACATCAAAATCTCTGCTGACCTGTCCACCTCAACGCTACAGTTCCGGAAAGCCTTAACACCGATCACAACTACACTTCGGGATCAGAAGGTCGTCTCCAGATGTGGAGATTCCCTGCAAAGCTGCTGGTCCACCATGAGGGAAACCTGCACGCGATCTCTACCTTGGAACTAGGACTTGCAAAACTCAAGGACTGGGTCTTCCAGGTACCCGACCAAGTACAACAGAAACCGGCGAAAGTCCCCAGAATTTCAGCGGAGTGGACTAAAACATGAACGCTGTGCGAACCACCTATCTCCAACGGGAGGATCACACCCAATAGCCTTTGAAGGTGATCCAGGACTTACCATGGTTAAAGGTGTAAGTTTTACACCTATTATAATACCCCAATTTTGAGGTTGCACCTTCCGCTGAAGGTACCACAGGTCTTTTATGTTATGTTTGGCTTAGACAAGCCCATGGGTTGCAAGCACGGAATAGCCCCCAAAACAATCCCCGAGCAGACAAGGCAACTAAGACTCGGTCCCCGCAAGAGCTAAAAAAGAAACAAACAAGGCTCCTAGAGCTGTTAGTAATAACCTAGGGACTCCTCAGTTCCAAGCTCTCAGCTACCCTCAGCACAGGGAGACCCAGGTGGGGGTGGGTTCCTAATTGTCCCCTTAACTGGGGTACACAGAACCTCTTAATGCCCAAAGGTATCATTCTACCAACATCCCCTTTCTCAGGGAATAGTACCTTCCACTATGGGTAACGATATTGTTACATTTAGCCCAGAAACCTCTATTAGGGCACAATACAACCACACTTAGACACAAGCACTGTGGGCAAGAAACTCCTAAAACTCTGCCCCCACACGGCCTCACGGGAGAGAAGACTTGACCCATAGAGTCACTAGCAGTACGGGCGGGGACACCCGGGTTCCAGAAGTCAAAATAAACCACAGGTGAAACTGAGATATCCGAGGTACTATGGCTCCTGGATGAGGAGCTAGTCAGTGCATGTTGCCTACCCGTTTGTTGTACCCCCCCATCCAATTTTCCCCCTTTGTATCATCCCCCACCCTACAGACCCCCAAAGCCACAAAAAGTATCATCCAACCCTCTATACCCATGCAGACCCACTGCAGCCAAGCTACCAAACGCATTTCAATGTAACCCACCCAAAATTCTATACCATAAGAGCCCCCTATGGGAGTAGGAACCGTAAGAAACATGCACCTCACATCACAACAATATAAAAATAGTGTCTCATAATGTCAAAGGATTAAACACTCCCTATAAACGCAGGCTGCTACTTAAAGACATACTCAAACAAGGAGTAGATATTGCATGTATTCAAGAAACTCACTTTAAGAATGACCGCACTCCGGCCATATTCACCAAAAAATATCACGTCCAATATCACTCTCTAGCAAGTACCAAATCCAAGGGAGAATCCAAACCTGATACACAAAGACGTAGCCTTTACACCACAGTATAGACTCCAGAGGCAGTTATATCATACTGGTAGGCCAGTTCAACATTGCCCAGCTTTGGTGGCTGCCTACTTTCCAAACGAAAACCCCAAACACTATTTGCAAATGCCACTTCACAAAATTGATAAACTTAAGCAAGGGAAGGTGATCTTATGCGGAGATCTTAACTGTATCCAGTCACCCACTCTTGATACCACAGCCGCCCTCACAGGTAATAGCAAAAAGAGAATAGACACCCAGAGCAAGGCCTTCATTGAATTGATAGATCAGTATGACCTCTAAGATGCCTGGAGATCGCTGCATCTGGGAGATAGAGATTATTCCTTCTACTCAAGGGTCCATAACACATACACCCGTATAGACGCATTTCTGCTAGACAGACAACTTTTGGCCCAACTAACTAGCTGCACCTTGAGGGACATAACATGGTCAGACCATGGCCAGGTCTACGTAGACCTCCTAGACGCTTTCCAGTTTAAAGGGAGAGGCTCTTGGAAACTCAACAATTCCCTATTGCCAGATACCACCTTTGCAAACGAGATGAGGGACACTATACAAGCCTACTTTGACACCAATGTAAAGGAGGAGATATCGGACACTACGGTCTGGTCAGCACACAAGGTGGTCATGAGGGGCTTGTTCATTAGGAGATCCTCCTATCTGAAAAAGCATCACCAAACCAACCTCCTAGACTGCCATAAACAAATCGCCTTAACCTCCAGGCAAAACAAATTGCTTCCCTCCCCACAATTAGCAGCACAACTTCAAACACTATACTCACGCCTAACAGAATTGAATGCGGAAAAAACCCCAAAACCCTACTCCACAAATTAAAAGCTAATGTATACCATAATAGCGGAAAGGTCAGAAAATACTTGCTAATAGATGTAAAGAAAAGAAAGGAGGTTAGCGCTAATAATAAAAAGGTGGATGGGCAGCGGCCTAGCAGAGGGTAACCCTCTATAGTAAGAACGGAAAACAACAACAACAGTAATGCAAGGCTGTGCCAAAATGTATCAATGTGGACTACAGATAGTAAAAAAGCATATAAATAAAACTTTTATATAAAAGTGCAAAATAAAATGTAGAAAATATTCCAAAAAGATTTAGAAGTTGCACTATGGCAATAGATGTCTTTTAACCCCTTAAGGACACATGACATGTCATGATTCCCTTTTATTCCAGAAGTTTGGTCCTTAAGGGGTTAAGGTGCTTTTGGTGATAGGGTCTCTTCTCTGTTTATAGTAGTCCAGTTTGTCTTGTGATATGAAAGACACAAGATAAGAGACCAATTGTATAGAGTGTAAGGGTCAATATATGTGAGATAAAGATATAAATATTCCACTCACATTTAAATGAGCTATAGCCAGCTCAGGTATAACAGGCATACAGCGGAACAATCCCCGCTTATGGGATATATGGATGATTGTCCTCTGGAGGGAATGGTGTCCAACTCTCAGGAAAGGGATATATAAAAACAACTAATAGTGCTCACTGTTTAACACGGTGTAAAAGTTGTTTAAATAAATAAAAATGTACTTACAAGTATAGTGCAGACCAACTGCACTATGGTAACAGCGTTGGTGGTATGATCCCCACCTCGGATAGGCTTGTAAGCACGTGATAAAATCAATTAGATGCCAGGTAGAAGTAAAATAGTGTGTAAAAAGATAGTTGGCACAGATAGTAACCAAAAAATCTTTAATTATATAAAATACACAATTAATAAAACCATTTAAGTGTTTCGCCACTAGGGCTATTTCAAAATGGGATAACATTAAAAACCTGGCTGATAGGAGTATATATAGGTACATAAGTTAAAAATTGGTGCCAAAAAAACGTCATTTATCAGTAGCCAATAGAATCAGAGTTGTATATCACATATATTGTAAGTGAAAATAAAAAGTTTTACATTAAAAGTAACATTATATAGGGTCTCATGCCAGTAACATTGTTTAAAAACGAGGTCTATGAACTTAGGAATGTTTAGTTTAAGCACGTCATGTGACTTGCGTGAAACAGGCTTTGCATGTTGGGAAATGTAGTGCGCGAGTCACGTGACCGGCGCATTCATTGGTAGCAGTGTGGAGCAAGCGATATAGCTTGTGGCATTATGGGGACTGAGGTTCGCTAGACCGGAAGTGGTCATGCGATTCGCGGCACTTTGCCGCTTGGGATATGTAGTGCTGAGTGAATCAGCATGTGCAGCCGCCGCTCTAGTGGGCGGTACGCACATAATGAGTGGCAGGCTCTATTTAGTGGCTGTAATGGGCACTTTGCCTCTTGGGATATGTAGTGCTGAATACATCAGCGTGTGTGACCGCCGTTATAGTGGACGGTACGCACAAAATAAGGGATGGGGCTCTATTTTTTAACTGGGATGAAAAGCAGCATATATAGTGCCTTATGGGAGGATGCTGAGAAATAAAAGTGGACAGAGATTGTAGTAGCCATATTAGCTATGGTCACAAATGCTTTTTTATGATATATACTGACATTTAAAAGGATAGAAAATAAAGTTAAAAGTAAAGTTAGGGACATATTTTTGGGCCATTTAAAGGGAAAGTGTCAGTTTCTATCCTATTCATAGTTGTTAACTACAGCATTATAGTCTAGGATACCCCCAGTATGACCGCATTATGTCAACCTCTGTATATACACCATTATAATGCTTTCTATATATAAACAAATCTAATAACTAATTTTTACTTAATTCCTAATCCCTATCTCCTAATAACTTATTTATAAGTATATACTCTAGCGGTATGGGTCAATTTCCTATTAGACCTCTACTACATACTTTGACTGATTGTTTTAAAAAAACTGACACTTTCCCTTTAACTGACACCTGCCTGCCCAAAACAGCAGGCGCCTACTCTGCATCCGTATCAGGAGGACAGGGGGTTGGGATCTTGGAAGCAACTCCCCTGTCCTCCCGCGAGCAATCTGTGTGGAGCGTTGTCGCGCGTTACCATGGCAACTCTCCACACAGCATCTCGCAGGTGGGAGGACAGGGGAGCTGCAGGACCTGTACCTCTTACCACCACCGGACCACCAGGGATTTCTGTTCCCCCTCCCCCCTCCTTCACATAAGGTAAGCAGAAGGGAGGGGGGGGGATACAGATTGTAATAATAAACTTGCAGCACTCCCCCCCCCCAACACACACAGCCCCTCCCCCCACACACACAGCACCCCTCATACACAGCAATCCACGCACACTCCGCACCCCTTAATGCAGCATGTGTGTGTGTTTGTGTATGTGTATTCAGCAGTCTGTGTGTACTCGGCAGTCTGTCTGTATGTGTATTCAGTAGTGTGTATTCAGTAGTCTTTATGTATTGAGCAGTCTGTGTGTGTGTACGTATTCAGCAGTCTGTGTATGTATGTTTGTGTGTGCGTGTATGCAGTAGATTGTGT